AGGGACGTAACTAAATGTCTAACTTATCTCAACCTTCAATATTATACGCTTTGTCAGAGAAGTGGATAGGATTATCAAGGGTTCTCACATGTATCCAGAGACATGCATATGAGGCTAGGGACGTAACTAAATGTCTAACTTATCTTAACCTTCCATATCGTACGCTTGTGAAGAGAAGTGAATAGGATTGTCAAAGCTCTCGCGCTTCATGATTTGATCTCCAGCCTTGTGTTTCTTTTTTAACCACCAACCAAGAACTAAAAGACCAGACACGATGACCAGAACAACCACGATACCAATAGCTGCTTTGGCTCCTCCGGACAGGCCACTTCCTTCACCTACAATCACATTCCAGAAAAGTACGTTAACACTAAAAACATTCACTGAAGGGTAGCGATAGAAGGCATGAAGGTAGGGTTGTCACGCGAGGGAAGTGGGAAGATTACTTTCAATGATAATAATAATAATAATAATAATAATAATAATAATAATAATAATAATATAATAATAAAATTCTGTGCTACATGCACATATTTTAAACAATGATAAAATTAATGAGATGACTTCAAGCACAAGCTAGGTTGACTGACATCTCTGACATCTGACATTTTGATTGGTTAACTAAAAGTATACATAATAATGGCCTAGTTCCCAATTCCCTAGGACGAAATGAACTATCCCAAAAGTATAATATTTTACTTATATCAAAAATGAAATAAGAACTAAACAGTCACCAGTTCATGTAGCTACGCAACATATATATCAAAATGTTATTCATTAGTTAATTGAAATTAATAGAGATTTCTCTGCAGCAAAGTCGGGCTATCAGTCGATTACTGACAGCGCCCAATTACTTACTTATTGCTTATCTACCGAAATCTCAGTCAATATTTGTCATATTTATTTGTCATATTTTTGTTCCTCAACATGGCTTTTTCCTAATATCTGATTAACCTGCCTTCAGCTTTCTGTAATCTAGTCTTTTAGTACGAGGCTTTCTGGAGTTCAGTGAGCCACTAATATTCTTTTTAATATTTGAATCAGTTTTCCTCATAAATTCCTCTTTACAGGGTTGCCTGCTAAGAGCAAGGAAAAAAAGAGTATCCCTTAACCTGAACTAGGAGTGTTCCTTAACCTGATTTAAAAGTATCCGGCCTTACATGATTTAGGAGTGTCCCTTCACCTGATTTAGAACTATCCCTTAGTTTAGGAGTATTCCTTACCTAAACTAGGAGTATCCCTTAACCTGAACTAGGAGTACCATTACCTGATTTAGCAATATCCCATACCTGAACTAGCTACGCCAAAAAATATAAACAGAAGTGAAAAGGTAAAATGGGTGCTTATCTGTTGCTCCGCTGTTGCGGATTACTGGTAAAAAACATTTTCAAGGTCTATATTGATTCAAGTAACTTAAAAAACTATTCAAAAACAGACTATAACTGTAACTATAAATTTCAGGTCACCCATCCAAGTACTAATATCCCTTAAACGTGCTTGACTCAGTGTCTTGTAAGTCCAAGTTTTTTCCATTGGGCCACGATTTCAGGAAATTAGCAAAACAATAGCCATGACAACAAAGATTATTTTCCACTACCAAAATCAACGTGCCAGTGCGTGGCAGAGGCAAGGGATAAGCTGTAGATATGGTCTGGGGGCCGGCTAGTCTCTCCCCTGATGCTTCGGCTAGGATATAATCCTGCGTAATGCGTACACCCAAGGGCAGAGGGACTTAATCGCCGTCAGGTCCGAAGTCATGGCATGAAGGCACATTTTCGAATTAATTATCTAATTAAAGTTGGTGTACGTGGGTTCGATTCCCACCGTATCAAGACTAAATTTTTTCGCCTTCTTTTCTTCTAGCCTTTGATTTCTTTATTTTCATTTTTATTTCTTATAAACGATGTTTTATCAATTCAAAAAAAAAAAAAAAAAAAAAAGAAAAAGAAAAAAAGAAAGAAAGAAAAAAATGTATGTATAACCCCTAAACTTTCGAGTTCCTTTTTTATATTTTATTTCGGGGACTTTTCACTAAACGTTTTTCAAGCTGATTGTTTTTGCAATTGGTCCTTTTGATCCTTTTGTACCTATCCACCAGCATGGCCGCCATCTTTTTCTTTTAATCCTCTTGGGAATGTCTAAAAACCACCAATCAACTGCAAGCAACAGCATGCTCAATTTCATGTGGACTGCTTTGTAATCTAGTTCGAAATTTTAGTTTATAAGAGCACTGGTGGTTCAGTGGTAGAATACTCGCCTGCCACGCGGGTGACCCGGGTTCGATTCCCGGCCAGTGCAAACAGTACTTTTTGTTTTCATTGAATTTTGGAATGACTTGAAATGAGAATTATGCAAACTGATGATGAAATAGGCTGCGCTTGCACGGTACCTGACGAATTTTAAACCGGGGTCAATCCAAAAATTTTAGCTGCACATACCTTTTGCACGGAACCAAGCCTTTGATAGAGGCTTTGCACCATCACGTGATGGCACACAAAAGGGTATTTCCCCAATGGGAAACTGAATTCTTTCTCGTGTAAACCAGAATGGACCAGATTCAATTGTTCCTGTCTCCTTTCACTGCTGCTAACACGTGATGGCATAAAGCCTCTTTTTACTAGAAATTGTTAAATTTCTCGCGCGCTGATTGGTCAATTTTCATCCTCGATAAGAGGACAGACCTATAAGCTGACGTTAACGAGCTAAAAGGAAAAAAAAAAAAAAAAAAAAAAAAAAAAAAAAAAAAAAAAAAAAAAAAAAAAAAAAAAACGCCCGAAAAATCCTTAAAAACGTCGTAAAAATGTGGTAGTGAATTTTTTGTGGTAAAAAACNTGAATGGGGGTCTGGATAGGGGTAACTGATTGGGATAATCAGCATTGAATGGGGGTCTGGATAGGGGTAACTGATTGGGATAATCAGTATTTAATCAGGGTGTGGATAGAGGTACCTGATTGTATAAGTTAACGACTAATTTTTAAGTCAATAGCCAGTTAACTGTTAATCTAAGCACTGACTATAATATTAACCAAAACAATGAAATATCAGTTAACTGTTAACTATGGTTGCACGAATGAATGCCGGCTAGTGAATCATTCTACGAAAATACGTGGATTTCTAAACAAAACAACAACAAAAAACAAAAAACCAAAAAATTCAAAAAAAACAAAAAAACAACAACAAAAAACAACAAAAAACAACAACAACAAAGAAATACATTGGTTTGTCGCATTTTGTCCTTTCAGCGCTCTCAGTTAACTGACAAGAGCTTTCAATTTATTAAACTTCAAACTATTCACAGTATTATATTCTATACTTTTCTATTTTTTATAGTTTCTATAAGGAAGAATCATCAACAAAACAAATCAATTTCGTCGTCGTTACATGATATAGCGGAACCACCATACTTAAGAAAAATTGTAAATTCATCGAGTCGATTTTTCATGGCTTGAATAGGTCACTTCCGTCCGTCACCCTATATAAAGGTAAACTGTCTCTTTTCACGCCTTGAAATAGTCAAATGAAGAAGTTCTATTTTCCTTTTTCGCAACGAAAACTTGATTCAGGATTCATGAGAAAGGAAAAAAAGACAGCCCTAGCACTGGGATCACCCTATATAAAGGTAACGGTCTCTTTTCACGCCTTGAAAAAGTCTAATGAAAAACTTTTATTTTTCTTTTTCGCAACGAAAACTTAACGAAAAATCTCTCATTAGTCATGAAAACGGGTGCCTTAATATTATGAGAAGAAACTGCTCAGAACCGGGTGCTATATAAGCTTCGTTTGTTACCAAGCCCCCATCGCGGGCTCCTCTAAACCACCACGGCTGGAAAATCAAGCTTAAGTGAATATGCAGATGTTTCAAAAAAGCTTGGTGAAGGTTTTGTTACATGTTGCATGCAGCTGCATGTTGCTTACCAATTTTGAAATCTGTAATAATGTCAGTACACTGTACAGGAAAAAATATGCAGGAAAAACGTGCAGGCAAAGTTTGGGGAAAATATTATATGACCTTTGGCCGATTGAATTCGCATCGCCCATAGTGTACTAAAGGCTTGTTATGCAAAGTGCAACATAACCTTCACCAACCTGTTTTGAAAGTAGCTGTCATGGTCAGTATTTACCTTTCTTTTGTGCGCTGGTTTTTCCACCTGATTGTTCTGGAATAAGAAATTATAACAATGAATATGTTTAGATTCTGCTCAACAAATGATATATATCTAGTCGTTTTAGCGCTTTCGCACTAATGGACCACACCTCGGCTTCAACTATGTCTTCTCATGCGCAGTCGCTAAATAAAGAAATCATACTCCAGGGAATGACACGTGGTCTGAAATAGGAAAACATTACAAACATGCCAAGGAGGTTTATTTGTAACACTTTTTCACTTCCACACACTACCACTGCATTCAACGTTTTATGCATAATATTTCATACGGCCTACGGGTAAAGAGCTACTCTGTGGAAAAGCAACCTTTTAATAGACTGCTTTACCTTGAGTAATGTTATCATTAAGTAAAACTAAATTCTAAATAAATAGCAAGAACTTTTTGATTATCTTCGTAATCGTTCTTTGTTTTTACTACCGCGACCTTTTTTTACCTCGGCAATAATGTTTTCCCATTTCAGACCACGTGTCATTCCCTTGACAACCATTTCTTTGTTTAACAGTTGTGCATGATAAGACAAATGAATATGGATACAACTCAAACAAATAATCTTATCCTCTAGAATATGTCACGTGATATGATCTGAAATAGGTGTGGACGAAATAGAATTTTGGCAGATGTCAATCAAGAAAATGCTTTGATTGACATCTATCAAAACTGCTTTGTCAAGACGTTACCTAAAAGATTGATGGAAATACTTACCTAATTTAGTGATGGTCAGAGATTCTGGATCAACAGTAAGGCTACCTATCGAGCCGTTCTTAGCAGATTCTTTAATTCTTTGAGTAACGTCGATGTCTTGTGCAATGTCAGCAAAGAATGTGATGTTGAAGTCAACAACGACGCTGCCTTTCCTTCAGTAATGAAAAAGAAAAATTCGCGACTCTATCAGTTGAATAAGGTCGGCTTGGCAAATCAGTGGAATAAGGGATTCATAAAAAGTTCTAGCTTTGGCCTTAGCCTGACATTGATCGGCCAAGAGGTTACTATGAAATGCGGAAGGTGTTATCAGGGTTCGTGCTGAGGTAACCACTTAAAATTCAAGGACTATTYAAGGAGTATACAAGGACCCAAAAATGAATTTTCAAGGAGTATGTTCAGCTAGCTATGCCAGGTTTTACACGGTGGTTGCACATGTCCGACTTTCAGATTTTCCGATCTTTCTGACTAGATCTATTTCAGAACCATGCAAGTAATGATCAAAGCAAAAATCCAAGGAGTTTCGCTAAAATCTTAAAATTCAAGAGCTTTTCAAGTGCCCTTGAAAACGTGAATTCAATTCAAGGAGTTTTCAAGTAGTTTAAGGAGTAGCACGAACCCTGTCAAGCTCTGTCCCACATCCCACCCCCCTCCCTCATTCCACACTTACTTGAAGCTGATTATTTTGACGTTTTGAAAGGCCAACGATGCCAAGTCATTCTTGCCTTTATCGTACAAAGCAGACACCTACAAACCAATAATTAACAACTAATCTTTAGAAGTTAGTAGAAGCACTCATTCTACACTTTACTCACTATCATGTCAATGATTGGCTGAGAACATTCACCTAATCCCATAAAAAAGGTATTATCTGTAGGTTATTATAGTCTTACTCACGTAGCAGCCATGCTTATTTTCATGAGAATAAAAACCTTTGTTTAAACTCGCGTAACCTCAACCTGAAGCGCTTTAATGCGAGTCTGCGTGGGAAGGAATCTATTGTACCTTTCATGCAACATGGCTGCCGCGTGAGTAAGGCCCATTCTGCTGAAAATACAATTATCATGTCAAATTCATTCAAGGTCACAAACACTTTTTGACCGAGCTAGCACTGACTGGATCTACTGATCTCACGAAGGTGGTTTAGCTCAAAGGATGTCGGTGTGTTGTGACCTATCACTGTCGTAGCCATACTAAAGCAGTTTTCGTATGATTGTGAAAAGCTCACTGCACGAACACGGTCGTGAGTCGGGCAAGGCATACGCCAGACCAAGCATACTACACGAAAATTCACTATCCGTYCAAACAAATAAYCAAAACACGGCACGAACATGGCGCGAGCACGGTCACGCCAAGGTCACGGCACTGTCAGACCAATCACATTGCGCGAAAAAAACAAGTCAGTCAATCAAAATTCTAAAAAAAAATCACGGTAACGGCACGGCACGTTTACGGCACTGAGCTTTTCACAGTCATACGAAAACTGCTCTAAATCACTTGAACCGTGCACCGTGAACGTGGTTCGTGATCTACTTCAAGGTGTTAGTAAATGAAACAGGTTAATTTGCAAGCAGATTATACCTCAGTGGTGATCTTATTGGCAAGATTCTGAAAGTCTGTAGTTGTTCTGTCGCTGTAGCCATCCTTCCATGGAATGTTAGTAACTTTCATTTTTACCTCAAATGACAAATCTTGTAGGAAGAAAAGAAAATTAATGAATGAATTAAGAAATTCAATTAAGAAAAAAAAGGTTATAAATGAAAAGAAAGGTACGTATATAGTTTAATCATTGATGAAAAAAAAAAAAAAAAAAAAAAAAAAAAAAAAAAGAAAAAGAAAAAGAAAAAGAGATACAAAACACTACAATTTTATGGAATACTTACCTCCAGGAGGCGTAGTTGGCATTGGACTTCCCGTGGGTTGACCACTCGGTTGTATTGTTGGTATGTCATCTAAAATCACAACCATTTTCATGGATTGGTTACTATCCCTGTCACGCCTGTCATGAATGCTTTTTTAAAAAGAAGTGAAGAAAAAGAGTCGTAGCAGAGTGTGTGCACACCACTTTGCGCTCTTTTAAGAAAAAGGTAGAGTGACTAAAGGGCAAGGCCAAGACACTGGGTCCAAAGTAAGGACCGGTAAATGAGGTAAATACCCCTTCAATCAGAGACCTGTCGAATTGCTCGACACTGCTGCAGATACTGGGTGTCTTTTTATTTCTATGACCAAATACCTAGTACGTTTTAGTATACGTGCAAACAGAAAGTATATTTGCGATATGTCTTTTAGTTTCGAAGATATTTAAGCACAAAATCAATAATTTAACTTCCAGAGGTGGTGAGTACAGAGTAACCCCACCCCTCCCCTCTTAGTAGGGTCTCGTAAGTGGACAATTGATGCTTTAACGTTATCCCTGAAAAGAAATGATTTATTTAAATATTTTAATACCATTTTTATTGAAGTGCGACCCGCAAAGTTTGATTTCTCGTTCAGGAAGATTTTAGACTGAGTTAAAGATCTGAGATGATTGCATTAAAATCTTTAATGCAGTCTAAAATCTCCCTCGGGATATTATTTCATTCATTGCAGTTCTATGATTGATGGTCGTTGAAATGTTAGTCAGCTAACGAGACGCACTTCGCGGGTCGCACTTCAACGACAATGGTAGTAAGCGTACTTGGTATGCAGCCATAGATTTCAACTCGCATGCATATCTTATTAGACCAGGACTGTGGTAGGATCTGTACAAGCCTTGCTCGTCGAGGCGAGTAGAACGTTGTTACCACCACTGATGTAGCGTCTGCATTGGCCACAAGAGTCTTTAAACATAAGTACGAATATATTTTAGGAAGGATGGATGGGAGAGTGAAGGAAGGAGAGGGGAAGTTGAAGGGAAGGAAGAATTTAAGTAAAGAAGGAGGAAAGAAGGGAAGAAATGAAAACGAAAGGGAGGGTGAAAAAAGGAAGGAAGGAAGGAAGAGAGGGAGGAAGGGAGAAGGGAAAGTTGACTTGAATGAAGGAGGGATAGAGGGAGGAAAACTAAAGGAAGGGAGAAAGAAAGACAAAAAGAAAGGGAGGAAGGAAAGTTGAATGAAAGGAAAGAATGTTGGACGGAAGAAAGGGAGGAAGAAAAAAAGGAGTGAAGAGAAATAAAAAAAAGAAGCTAAGAAAAGAATAGAAAATAAAAGATTAGGCTACAATACTAGGATAAAATCACTTACCCTGCTATCTTGGAATGTATAATATTGCCATATCTTCAGGAAGTAACGTAAGAAATATGTCTTAACAAAACCACTTCCATCTTGGGCTCCCTGTGTAGCTACTTGTCTGATACGGTAAATTTGTCCAAGATCAATCTGAGATTAGATAAACGTAACATGTTAACATAAGTCTTTTAAGTTTAAACTCCAATACATAATCTAAGACACGTTTTTGTATTCAAAGGTTATAATAGAGCGAAAAATAGTGAGGGCCAGAATAGGCCGTTTGGATGATGGCGTCATTTTACTACCACTACCAAAAGGCTTCGTGAATTTTCTTTCTTATTCAAATTTATATTCCCTCATGAGAATAGTAAAATAACTGCTGCTAATGAACTCAACGAAAGATAGTGTGTAAGATATTCCGGTAGTTGTTGTCAATGACGCCATGTCATGCAAATGTCCTGTACCCCATACCGGCCCGCAGAAACAGTAGTAAAAGAATGTCAAGAACGTTATTGGATTATTGTTCCACTCATAAAATAGAGCGTTTTCACTCTCATGACAAACCAGCCATATTGGTGTATCAAACAATAGAAACTTTCTGCACAGCTTTTGCATTAAAATTCCTGGAGGATAGAAAATGTATTAATTGTTTTGGTACACCAACATGGCCGATGTGACATCACGTGAAAGCGCTCTATATAACATCCACTGAATGATAGACTTGGCTATTCCATTATACATGGAATACATATGAAGATTCACCTGTAAATACTGATTTTTGTCGTTACTCGCGGCACACCATCCTGAAACCCCATTGAGTCGAGCCATCGTAGGATCGTGCTGGGTGTCAAGGAAAGACGATGCTTTCAGCCATGAGTCTTCTATTGTGCCTTGCTCCATACCAACAGGGTCATTACAACCTTCGATATGATTGATATAAAAGAGGTTATGCTGTGGTATGTGTGCGGTAATGTTGTCGTACTTCAGACCGTATAATTCATTTCCTTCGATAGCATTGCTCTTTTCCTATGACGCGCTTGAAGAGATTCTATTGCTGGGTTTAAATCAGCCGATAAGATTCCCTGAATCTCATTATCTTCTTCRAATGATGGGTAAACACTGACTACCATGTGCCGTCAGGCAGAAAAAAATATACTGGAAACTGAGACTTGGCTGATGAGCATTCTGCACGAGACCGGAAATGACATATGAAATGAAACCCATTACGTGTTTAAAATCAATAATTTAAARAGCAAGTAAGTCAAACAAGTCACTAACCACTTGCACAGCCGTATAACTCGAACCGAAGGCACTTGCCCCCAGTCGACCCAGCCAGCGGCATTAGACGGAAGTACTGTGTTTTGATTGGTTCAGCCAGGACATGAACGAGAGGGGTGATAGGGTCAGAGTTACCTCGGAATATCTATAAAACAAGATACGAAAGGTGTATGTTTGATTGGCCTGGTCCTTTTAATTGGCGTAAGTTTTGTTTTAAGAAATTATTCAACAGTCAACAAGTAGGATTCTATAGTGGTTGCTCAATCTTCCAAAGCAGAGACTCATAAGTAAAGCACTCTCTGCGCCAGATCGAATAAGCTAGTTCGTAGTTTAAGAATCGTTTGCAGTGCGCATGCGATGTGCGCATCCCGAATTTCTCACTTTCTTTTGTTTAATTTAGTACGAAAGGAGGTTTAAACAAAAGAAGGTGAGAAATTCTGGATAAAATCGTGTGTGCACTGAAAACGATTCTTAAAATACGARCGGGGTTATCCGAATAGACTTTTTTGGCTTGAGTAAAATGTTTTCCTTACAACACCCGTGGTTCTCATTAGCTTCCTATTAAGAAGCCTAAACGACATGCTAATAGAGAATACTTCCGGTTCCAATGGACAACTTCGACGATACGTCGGCCATCTTGCCAGGAGGCAAAGCAAAACAAAGATGACGGAAAATATATAGAGTTTCGTGTGATTGACTTTCTCTTATGGGTAAAGGTGATCGATGTGCCATCAAAAGTTATCTTTTGCTGTATTCTCTTATGGTGAGCTAACAATTAACGTCATTAGTGTAACAAAGCTTCATTGGCCCCCTGTATGCCCCATAATGTCTTGTGATCCAAGATGGCCGCCGTATCGTCGAATAAGTCCATTAAAATGGTGGTGGGTCAGGATAACATTTTCTATTGCTTACTATCAATCACGTGACTTTTTGGAGTT